GCTTAGCTTAATTTCAATTTAATTATTGTGCATTTAAATTAATCTTGATCTTTTATATTCGTTTTAGTACTTTAAAAAGAAGTTAATTGTTTTATTTTTCAATTTATTAAATTGCTTCGTATCAATTCCCTGTGGGATCGACCCTTGCATTTGCACATTATTACTACAGTGAGTCGTGCACTTGCGAGGACATTAAATATTAAAATTGTCCATCAATTTTTGGCGCCGTATCAGAGAAGGCTTTAGCAAGCACCCTCATCATGAGATTCTCCTCTCTCCGTCTCACTTCCGTCAAAGGTGTGCGTGAGCACATCATGGAATTGCGGGACATTGTGGCTCAACTTAAGACTCTTGGGGTAGATATGTCAGATGACTTTGTTGTGTACTATGCTTTGTACACCTTACCATCATTGTACAGGCCTTTTAAAATTTCTTATAACACACATAAAGAAAAATGGTTTGTAATGATTTAATGACCATGTGTGTTGAAGAAGAATGAAGGTTGGTCATGGAAATGGGAGAAAGTGCCATGCTGGCTATGACACACGAGAAGTCTAAATCTGGCAAATCTCGAGGTTCCACTTCTAAGGCTAAGGGGAAAGGAAAACTTTCACCTCAAGCAGACATAAAGAAGGTGCATAAGTGTTTCTTCTGTAAAAAGAAAGGGCACGTGAAGAAAGATTGCATCAAGTATAAAAAGTAGATCGAGAAGAAAGGTATTTTATCCTCATTCGTTTGTAATGAATCCAATATGTCTGAAGTTAAAACTAATACTTAGTGGATTGATTCTGGTTCAACAATCCACATTGCAAACTCTTTACAGGGAATGCAAGATCTAAGGAAGCCGGTGGGAAGTGAACGAACCATCTTATCAAGAAACAAGATGGGGTCACAAGTGGAAGCCATTGGAACATGCAAGCTTATTTTAAGTAGTGGCTTTGATTTTATTTTAAATAAGAAATTTTATGTACCAAGTTTCTCCCATAACTTGATTTCTGTTTCTAGACTTGTGCCGTTGGGTTTCTCCTTTAATTTTCGAGACAAGTGTTTTGATATTGTCAATAAATCAACTTGTGTTGTATACGGTACATTGTCTGATGGTCTTTATCGTTTACATTTACAAAACAATTCCACTTATAGCTCATTGCATGTTCACTCCGGTTCCAAAAGATTGAGTGTTAGTGAACTCCTTCATGTTATGGCATCGGAAATTAGGTAATATCTCCCTTGAACATATAAAGAGATTAGTAAATGATGGGGTACTTAGTACTCTTAATTATACTGATTTCGAGACTTGTATAGACTGCATTAAGGGAAAGCAGACGAACAAGTCTAAGAAAGGTGCTAAAAGGAGTTCAAGCATATTGGAAATCATACATACTGACATTTGCTGTCCAGATATGGATATGCCAGGTCAAAAGTATTTTCATCACTTTCACTGATGATTACTCGCGATTTACTCATGTGTATTTGATTCATAATAAGAATGTAGCGTTGGATGCCTTCAAGTCTTTTAAGGCTGAAGTTAAGAACTAATATGGGAAACAAATACAGATAGTAAGATCCGACAAAGGTGGTGAATACTATGGTAGTTACACTGAAAGTGGACAAACACCTGGTCCGTTTGCTAAGTTTCTTTAAGAACATGGGATTGTTGCCCAATACACCATGCCTGGTTCTCTGGACCAAAATGGTGTTGCTGAAAGAAGAAATCACACGCTTATTAATATGATGCGGAGTATGCTTAGCAACTCAAAAGACGCCATTTGAGTTCCAAAGCACTTACAACGGCTACGTATATACTAAACTGTGTTCCAACCAAGGCTGTCCCAAAGACGCCATTTGAGTTATTTAAAGGTTGGAAATCGAGTTTGCAACATATGCGTGTTTGGGTATGCCCGTTTGAGGTGCGGATATATAACCCACAAGAAAAGAAGTTGAACCCGAGGAATATTAGTGGTTTCTTTATTGGATACGCACAGTCCTCCAAGGGATACAGATTTTATTGTCCATCTAATTCAACTAGGACTGTGGAATCAAGAAGTGTTAAGTTTCTTGAAGATGACATTATTAGTGGGAGGGATCGGTTCAATGATTTGATTTATAATCATGATCATACTGAATCATGTCCTTCTACGTCATTAGATAGGTTGATAATAGTTTCAAACACCCCTCAAGTTCAAACGGGTATTGAACAACCTATTGAAGAAGTTCCACAAAATGCTAATATTATTCCAATAGATCAACCAATTCAAGAAATTCCTGAAGTGGTAGTTGAACCGCTAACTTCTCAAGAAGATGATAGTTCAACTTTATAGCGATCTACTCGAGAAAAAAGGCAAGCAATTCCTAGTGATTATACAGTGTATCTACAAGAGTCTGATGTTAGAGCCGAAAATGATCCAGAAACGTCTTCACAAGCCATAAACTGTAAAGAGTCAAATTTATGGTATGAAGCCATGAAGGAAGAAATGAGTTCCATGCGAAGCAATAGGGTTTGGGACCTTGTTGAGTTGCCTAATGGGGCCAAGGCCATTGGCTGTAAATGGGTCTATAAGACTAAAAAAGACTCATTAGGCAACATAGAGCGATACAAGGCTAGGCTCGTTGCTAAAGGATTTACTCAAAAGGAAGGAATCGACTACACGGAGACATTTTCTCCTATGTAAAAGAAAGATTCACTTCATATAGTTTTGGCTTTGGTTGCACATTTCAATCTTGAATTGCAACAAATGGATGTGAAAATGGCATTCCTTAATGGTGATCTATAAGAGGTGGTTTATATGACACAACTTGAAGGATTCTCCTCTAGTGAAGGTAAGCATTTGGTTTGCAAGCTCAAAAGGTCCATATTGGTTTAAAACAAGCTTCCCACCAATGGTATATCAAGTTTAATGTGGTCATTTCTTCATATGGATTTTTTGAAACTCCCTTAGATCATTGCATATACCAGAAAACAAGTGAGGGTAAAATTTGTTTTCTTGTTTTTATATGTGGATGATATTCTACTTGCAACAAATGATAAGGGAATGATGCACGAGGTTAAGCAATTCCTTTCTAGGAACTTTGATATGAAAGATATGGGCGAGGCATCTTTTGTCATTGGCATAAAGATCCATAGGGATAGATTCCAGGGTATTCTGGGACTATCGCAGGAAACCTATATCAACAAAGTCTTAGAAAGATTTCGGATGAATGATTGTTCACCGAGTCTAGCTCCTATAGTGAGAAGAGATAAATTCAGTTTGGACCAATTTCCAAAGAATAATTTTGAAAGAGAATCCATGAAGAATATTCCTTATGCTAGCTTCAGTTGTCGGGTGCCTCGGGTATGTTCAAGTTTGTACTAGGCCGGACATCGCCTTTGCTGTTAGAATGCTGGAATGATATCAAAGTGATCTGGGTTTAGACCACTGGAGAGCTGCAAAGAAGGTTTTAAGGTATCTCAAGGGTTACCAAGGATTATAAACTTGTGTTCAAGAAGACATACATGTTGGACGTCGTTGGATATTCTGATGCAGACTTTGCCGGTTGTGTTGATTCTCGAAAATCAACTTCGGGGAACATTTTTATCGTGGCCGGTGGAGCTGTTTCATGGAGAAGTGTTAAACAAACTCTTTTCACCACTTCAACCATGGAAGCCGAGTTCGTTTCAGGTTTTGAGGCTACATCTCAAGGTGTATGGCTTAAAAATTTCATTTCGGGGCTTAGAGTTATGGACTCTATTTCTAAGCCATGAAAGGTTTATTGTGACAACTCAGTTGTAGTCTTCCTGGCAGAACAATAAGAGTGGGAGTCGAAGTAAGCATATCGACACCAAGTACTTGGCCATCAGGGAGCGTGTTAAAGATAAGAAAGTGGTCATTGAGCATATAAGTACTGAGTTGATGATTGATGATCCCTTAACTAAAGGCATGCCACCATTCAAGTTTAGGGATTTTGTTGAGAAAATGGCACTTGCGCCCACTTTGTAAAAACTTGTATACATATAGTTATTTTATGAAATTCTTAATGTATTCAGATATTTTCTCGTTATTGTATTGTGCACATTTTGTTGAGAAAATATATATCTTTTGGACCTGGAATAAACATAAGGTTTATCCATTAAGTTTTGGTTAAGCACATAAAGTACTTAGAGAACAAGTTGCATTGTGATTATACTAGAAACTACTCGTATTAAGAGGACATATCTCTATGGTTCGTGTATTTTGTTTCTTTAAGTTTTGTTCTGCATCAAGTGGGAGAATGTAACATTTTCCATCATTGTGGTGCAAGATTATTATGGCCTTAATGGCCATTAAGGAGTGCTAATTATAACATTTGTAACGGTTACCGTTACAACTGTTACAAAGACTATATTGATGGTAAATTAGGCTATATAAGATAGGTCCACCTCCCCCCCCCCCCCCCCCCCCCCACTACTCAGGTCACTGTCATTTTGACAAAATTATACACCATTATCTTTTGAACCTGAGACTAGTGGGAGACACTTTGCCCAAATCACTGCAGCAAATAACTAAGGCATTCTACACCAACTTCAAGGAAAATCAATAGCAAACAACTATGGCTGGAGGTTAGTCTCTATTAATACTTATACAATGCATGTATAACTGCATATGTGCCTATATTTGCTTACACAACATGAATGCATTCCGCTTAGAATAACCCTACGTGTTTTCACACTCAACACTTGCAACAGAGGTGGCGTAGCTATATTGAGAGCGAGAGACGAGCAGAGCTGTAGTTATATATCGAGAGGCTTTCTCAGGCGGTTTCGGCGAACCCTCACTGTGTTTTCATGGTGGAAGATGTGGAGCAAGTGGACTACTGTTCCCAACTGCAACTCAAACAGGCAATCCAGAGAGGAAAGATAAGCAGCAACTTCAATGGCGAGGACGTGAGTTTCAGCGACGCCATTATCATCTTGAGCTGCAAGAGCTTCAGTAGCTCGCGGTCCAGAGCCTGCTCCCCGCTTAATAAGCAGAAATCCTCGTCAGAAGAGAAGGGACCGTCATCGTTCGGCGGTGATGAGGAAACCACGAGTTCTTGCGGGTTCTTGGACTTGAATATCTCCATTAATGACGATCATGAAAGGTCAGTTGAAGAAGATGACAGGGGTTTATCACTTAGGGCTTGTTGAAAGCATTGATAGATCCGTTACCTTCAAAATCCAAAGTCATGATGAAGAAGATATAATCTTTATATCAGAAATCAACATAATCCGGAAATATGTAAACAAAATTGAATTTTATGCAGAAAAAAGTGACAAAAACAGCAAGTTAGATGAAAAAATGACATATCAGTATTTTGTTTTTTTTTTTTTTTTGAGTTAATATCCAAAATGTTCCTCGACTATAGTAGTGTTTTTCTAAATTTCGTCCTAAACGACTTTGGTAACCTAATGTAGTCCCAGACTTTTGTGTTTTTGCTCAATTTAGTCATCTGTTTGTTATTCCGTCAAATTGGTGTTAAATAAATGGGCAATTCAATAATCTCAATATTGACCTCTCTTTACTCTCAACTTGCAAAGTGCAAAATCCCTCTATCTTTTACGAATTACTCCCAGACATGCAAATCAAATTTTATATTCGAGGTTTTGAAGTAATTCGTAAAAGAAAAAGGAATTTCGCACTTCGCAGGTCTAGGAGTAAAGAGATAGTAATAATGAAATTACTAAATTATACCTCTATTTAACACCAAATCGATAGAATAATAAATGGAGGACTAAATTGAGTAAAAACACAAAAGTTTGAGACTACATTACGTCACCAAAGTTGTCTAGGACGAAATTGAAAAAAATCATTATAGTAGATGACCATTTTGGATATTAACTCTTTTATCTTTCCATGTCAGCAAATTAGATGAGTTACTTGTTAGAAACAAGCTAAAAATGCTAGATAAAAAAATAATCGAGAGTATAATAGCCTAGATGGACCATATTTTAATCCATAGTGTTGGATGAACAATCAGTGTTAGTACATGTGCCTATTTGACCCTTTTGCCTTTAGTAAATAACTTTAGTATCTAATAATTTTTTACACGTATTTAAATTATCAAATGTAAAATTAACATTTGCGTACAATTTCTGTCAACCTAAAAAGTGATTAGAAATTGCAATCACTTTTTAACTGATGGTCTTTTTTTTTATTATTGGGGTACATTAGTAGAACAGCTAACTTCTATCCAATTATGGTTGGAAAATTTTAACTACGCCGGAGATGCCATTAAGAAATTGAAGACCAAACAACTTGATTGTGCCTTTATGGTTGAAGATAGTGTAAAGATTGCCATTAATGATGTTATAGCTTACCCTCACATGACGATTCACTCATCACCCTTCTATTGGAGCACTACTATACAAAACATAAATTTCATGATTGTATAAGGACTGACATTGTCCTTACCATGAAATTACTGATAACACCTAGTGCTTATTCTATAATCAAATATCGAAATAATATTCAAATATCCTCCAGTATCTTTGATTTATAGAAGATTTTGAAATTTATGCGATATACCGATGTGTCTATTCATAGACCACTTGGGTATTGACTCTTTTCGATCCCCATGATGTCAAATCCAAACTAGTTATATTTTGTTTTACCTCCACTATCCTATGTGAGGATAATAAAGTTTGTCTTATACAGAGTACAAATTATAAGTGGGTATGTTTAAAGACAAGTTATATAAATATTCAAGTATTCAACCCGCGTAAGCTCCAGAAGAATCACGAGATTATTGTATGAAATGATAAACTCTAGTGATAATCCTGAAGATTGTACCATATCTCTTCTCTACACCCTTTTTGAAACAATGACGTTAGTTTAAGTCATGTAGAACTTGAAGATTGTTATCTTCAGGGGGAGACGAGAAGTACATTTACTCAAATCATTCCAGAAGATTGGGTCTTAAAAGACTAACATTTATACTTTTTGCAACATATGAATACATACATACCATATACTTTTTTCCTCAGTAGATTTTTCCCACAAGGTTTTTCTAGTGTGGGTTTTAACAAGGCATGAGTATGATATAGTAATGTCGATGGGGAAAAGTTGCAAATAAATACTTAAATAGACAAACCCCAAAATCCTGAAGATTATGCCCTGAAGGCTTAGGTTGTACTCTTTTTCTCTTAACTAAGTTTTTTCCAACAGGATTTTCTTAGGATAAGGTTTTTAATGAGGCAACCCAAAATTACCCATATAACGTGTACTCTTTTATCAACTAGGTTTTCCCCACATGATTTTTCTAGCGAATTTTTAACGAGGCATGATTAAGATAAGATAATGTCCAAGGGGAAGTGTTATAAATATATTATTATTGTTAAGGACATTATGGTCATTCAATACGTAATGGTTGTAACGGTCATCATTGTTATTGTCATTATTATATGTAGCAGAAGTCAACATTTTGGTCCCTCGATTGTTTCCCAAATGTCAATGTAGTCTCTAGTTTTCAATTTCAACCAATTCGATCATCGAATTGTTCAAAAAAATTTCAATTAAACCCATCCAAGGACAAAACTGACAAAATTTTAAAAATGTAAAAATAATCATTTTGGTCCATGACTAATTTTAAACAATTCGATGGTTAAAATTGAAACTAGGGATTCAAAAAAATTTCAAATTTTACTCCCTTAATTTTACTAAGATATGGCGAGCTCTGATAAGCAATTTTTTCCATGTGAGTCCCAATACAGGCAAATTATGTTGTGCAACCATGGTGCACACGGTTGCAAAGACGGTGGTGTTTTACTTTTTTTTTAAAAAAAATCATTTTTGATTACCGTTAGTTACGTAAACATATCTTCATAATTTTATAATTTTGTTAGGAACCTTGTATTAGGATTTTGATGATACCAATGTAATGTAGAAAGTAGACCCCTAACTCTTACGTTTTTCTTGTATCGCTACTTTCGTTCTAGACGAAAGTTGCCATAACTCATATGTAATTCGTGTTAAGCTAGAACAAACACACGAAAAGAGTTATGAATAGAAGATAGGCTGATCAAAGCGAAAGAAGACTCCACAGCAACGAAAGAAGGAGTTGTCATTAAAAAGACAGTTCTTTTCAAGTCTATCTCAACAAGTATTCTTCTTCTCATCAACAAGAAGAATGTTCTACCTGTCTGATTTGACAACATCCTAGGACAATAAGGACCTCAACTCATGGGACACGCTATCCAAAGAGCATTTAATGAAGCTGTACTATCTCTGGAGCTAAAAGACAAAAGTCATCAGATCCTCCATACCTTCAACGGCTACATAGTACAAACCCATTAATGGAGCATTAAATGCATGAGGCTCCATGGTCCTTGTCCAACAGATAAAAGGTTTGAAAAATTCATCTCCCTCCAACGGATGAATTTTCATCACCTATATAAACCAACCTTCATCAACTAAGAAGGTGCTGGTTCATTTATCACTCTACTCACTCTCTTGCAAAAAGCTCTTAAAAAGTGAACAAATCTCAAAGCTTTTTGCGAACCAGTTATTTAAGGTGTTAGGGCATTTGAAGTAGATCACCCATCACTGCCCTACATCTTGTAAGAAGTCTTGCACTCTTGAAGCAATCATCCCACACTAACAAGACTTCACAGTTGGAAGAATCAAGAAATACTTTCTCACCAACCTCAACTTAGAACAAGAAGTTGATAGAGGCGGAGTAAACTCTCGGAGTTGAAAAACCTTCAAAGGCTGTCTGGCTTAGTGATCAAGGAAGTCTTTGTGTAATTGTACTAAAGAGTGATAGTGTAATCCTTCCAGCAGTTGTGGAAGAAGAGTGGAAGTAGGCAAAGTTTGGCTGAACCACTATAAAATCTCGTCTCGCTCTTCTCTTTACTTACTGCTTTATTTTACTACTTGCATATCATCTTTTTCATCACTCATCTTATCTTTTTATCAAACTCGTGCAACCCTCTCTTTATAACCTTTCCGCTGTGCTTATCTTACTCAAAAGTGTTGTCAGGGTTTTTCTTTTAAAGAATCTAAAGAAAAACGAGAGTCTATTCACCCCCCCCCCCCTCTAGACTCACCACACAATCTATCGGGACCAACAAGTGGTATCAGAGCCGAATACCTTGAACGGTGAAGGCTTTTTGCATTTTACTGCCTGGTAGATCCACCTTTGATCTTTTTTTTTGGATCTTCTTCGTTGCACGATTTTTTTTTTAAATGGAAAAAGAACATGCACAAAATCGCTCTAGACAGCTTGCTTTTAGTCTTGCCAAGTTTGATGACTGGAAATTAAGAATGCAGGCTCTTCTGTGCTCTATTCATGATGAAATGTGGGACGTCATAACTACTGGACCTATCACAGTGATGATGGCAAATGCACAGGCTGCTGCTCAAGGACCAGATGCTCCACAAATAATACCTAAGCCGAAAGAGCAGTATAACTCGGAAGAAAGAACAAGAGCAAACCTGGACAATGTGGCAAGGAACATTCTTTACAACTCTCTAGATGATTCACTCTTCCCCAGAGTCAGAAAATGTAAAAATGCTATGGAAGTATGGAAAGTTCTAATGGACTTGGGAGAAGGAGATGAACAAGAAAAGGACAACAAACTGACAATAGCCATGAAGAAGTTCGAAGACTTTAAGATGCAACCAAACGAGACGATCATGGAGATGGAGCTAAGATTCACAAGACTAATGGGAGACTTATCAGACCTTGGAAAAGAACTCACCGAAAAGGAGATGAATCTAAAAATTCTTCGTGGATTGCCGAAGTCATGGGAGATGAAGGTCATCGCGATGAGAGATAATCGTGACATGAAAACAACACCCACAGCCAAAATCTTCAGTGATCTCAAAGCATATGAGTTTGAACATGAACCGAAAGATGCTGAGGAACCAGAAACGAGAAATATTGCCCTCGTAGCAAATCAGGCGGCGTCAACCCCTAACAGGTCGAAATCTAACTCTTGTGATTTTTTAACTGACGAACAATATGCCCTATTTGTCAGGAAGATGAAAAGATTCATGAGAAAGAACAACTTTCAAGATCCACAACGGTCAAGCCACCGAAAGAGGCATGAAAGCTTCCCTCAGGCTTCAAAGACCGAAACCACTGATTCACAACTGCTGTGCTACAACTGCCGAAAGCCA